TACAGTAGTTTTCCTGTTGTACGTTGTATGGCTTTTGGCACATGCATTCACCAATGTAGTGTCTTATGAAGCAGTTTCGTGCCCTAAAAATCTCCTGTGGTCTGCCTGTCCATCCCCCCCTCACCCCTAAACTCCGGCAACCACTCATCTTTTACTGTCTCTGTAGTTTTGCCTTTTCCAGGATGTCACATAGTTGGCATCCTGCGGCTTTTAGTCTTCAGATTGATTTCTTTCACTGAGTCAGACGCTTTTATGTCTCCTCCATGTGCTTCACGGCCTGATGGCTCCTTGCTCGTCAGTGATGATTAATATCTCGCTGTCCGACCGTAACACAGTTCACTAGGTCATCTACTGAAGAGCATCTTGGTTGCGCCCAAGTTTTGGGAGCTGTGAGATAAGCTGCTATAAACATCTGTGTGCAGATCCTGTAGGATTTTATTCTTGAAATTTGTTAAGGTGTGTTTTATGGCCCAGAATGTGGTCTTTCTTGGTGAATGTTCCATGTGAGATGGAAAAGAATGTGCGATTTGCTGTTGTTGGATGAAGTAGTCTATGTATTCAATTATATCCACTTGATTGATAGTGTTGTTGAGTTCAACTATGTCCTTGCTCATTTTTTGCAGCTGAATCTGTCCATTTCTGGGAGTAGGTTGTTAATCTCTTCCACTATAATATTGGATTAATCAAATTTTTCTTGGGTTGTTTTAGTTTTTGCCTCACATAGTTTGATGCCTAGAGTTGGACCCACCTGCATTAAGGGTAGCTATTTTCTTGGACAGTTTTCTTCTTCATCATCATATAATGTCTCTGTTGAACCTGGATAACTTTCTGTGCTTTGAAGTCAACTTGAACTAAAATTAATACAGGTACTCCTACTTTCTTTGATTAGTGATAGCATGGTGTATCTTTTTCCATCCCTTTACTTTTAATCTATATGTCTTAATATTTTAAGTAGGTTTTTTGTAGACATCATATACTTGGGCCTTGTTTTTTGATCCTCTCTGACAATCTCCCTGGGACTTGTTTTTTTGATCCATTCAGACAATATATATGTAGTTATTTCTAAGGGGATCTTATGGCTGACATGTACAAATAGTCCTATGTATCTACATGACACATCTCAGACATGGCTTCTGACATGTCTCCCTTATCATGCTTTATTATATTCTTCACAGTGCTTAACACTCTTTAATTTTGCTTAGTTTATCTTTCCCCATCTGGAATCTAAGCTCCAAGAGGGCAGGGACTTTGTGCTATATATACTCAGTGTTGAGAATAGTGCCTTAAGTTTATTATTGTCTAAATCAATGAATAAGCATACTTTTTAGCACTTATTAATTCAAAGGATATAGCTCTTCTGTGGCAAGAAAGAACACAAGAGGCCAGGTATGCTACCATTTTTCCAAGAGCTAGGAGTTGAAAACCTACTTAAAAAAATAACAGAAAATTTCCTTTTCCTGGTGAAGGAAATAGTCCTACAAATCCAGGAAGGGGAGAGAGTCCCAAACAAGATGAATCCAAAGAGACCCACACCAAGACACATCATAATTAAAATACAAAAGGATAAAGACAAAGACTGAATCTTAAAAGCAGCAAGAGAAAAGCAGTTAGTTACCTACAAGGGACCTCCCATAAAACTATCAGCTGATTTCTCAACAGAAACTTTGCAGGCAAGAAGGGACTGGCAAGAAATATTCCTAATGATGAAAAGCAATGACCTACATCCAAGATTACTCTACCCAGCAAATCTATCATTTGGAATCGAAGGACAGATAAAGAACTTCCCAGACAAGAAAACGCTAAAGGAGTTCATCACCACCAAACCAGAATTCCATGAAATGTTAAAGGGTCTTCTTTAATAATAAGAAGAAGAAAAAGAAGAAAGATCAAAATATGAACAACGAAGTGGCACTAATGCATACCTATCAACAATTAAATCTAAAAAGCAAAATAAATGAAGAAAGCAGAACAGAAATAAGCTCATTCTCATAGAGAATATTTTGACGGTTGCCAGATGGGAGGGGGTTGAAAACGCATAGATACAGAGAATATTTTGACGGTTGCCAGATTGGGGGGTGGGGGGGTTGAAAAAAGTGAAGAGATTTAGAAGTACAGATTGGTAGTTACAGAATAGTCATGGGGATATAAAGTACAGCCTGGGGAATGTGGTCAATAATATTCTAACCACTATGTGTGGTGTCAGATGGCTACGAGATTTATAGGCACGATCTCTTAGTAAATTATATAATGTCTAATCACTGGGTGTCCATCTGAAACTAATGTAAGTCAACTGTAATTAAAAACTTAAAAATGGTTTAAAATAATGGACATTTAATTTAATTTATTATTTTGGGGGAAATAGAGCATTGCTGGTAATTATTTTTTAGTAAAAGTCCTTGAG